TGGCCTGCATTTGGTTGGGCCTTCACAGGTGCCAACAGAAATTTTGTTTGTATCTTTTTCTTCATGTCTGCGCCTATGATTTGAATGGCGTAAGGTGATATGCTCTCGGAGACTTAGAAAGGATGTCTTCTACGAACAGCATCCAGAGAGGGGCAATCAGGACAGTGAAGGAACAGGGCAGGGTTAGCCTGGGAAAGAGATGACTGAGGCAGGGGGAAGACGTGCTCGCTGTCTTTGGCCATTTGAAGGGCTGTGTGTCTTCAGGAAAAGAGACTTATGCTGCTTTGCCTCATTGGTGGAACTTGGAACAGTTGGAAGAAATCACTGAGAAGCAGACAACCTCAAAATAAGGGAAAACTTCCTGTCCGTCTGACCTTTTAAAAGTGACATCGGCTGGGCTGGAAGGGGCTGTGCTCCTTCTCACTGGCGGTATCCAAAGGATGGAGGACCGCCTGTCCTGCTTGCTATAGAGGGACTTTGTGCTCAGGCATAGGCTGAGTTAGAAGGTCCTCAATGGCCCTCAGCGATAATCTGGCCAGGACATTGGAAAACAGGATTCTTACCAACTGCATTCTGAATGCTACATCTTCAACAGATGGTCAATGTGAGTCAAAATGGTAACTCACGCTAAGTTTCAATTGGGGGGTTCCCCTAAATCTCCAGATCTTCTCATCCAATTGCCAAGTCACCCCTCCACCATCCTGTACCTGGGAAGTCAAGCTATTGACCCTGAGTGTAGATCTAATATGCTAAGCGTCATGGGTCTTTCTGGAGATTGAGAGCTGGCTTGACAGTAGGGAAGCCCTGGGTTGAGGTCCATGCCCTGACACTCCACACTCGGATCACTCTGAATCTCAGTGCCCCAGGCAGCTCTCTGAGACAAGTTGCAGAACAGGTCCTACTCTGCGTTTGTCAAGGGACTTTCCTCGTAGAAAATTCCTTATGCCATTCAAATCATAGGCGCAGACATGAAGAAAAAGATACAAACAAAAAAAATACTCTAATTCAATTCAGCCCAACCCTCTGGCAAGAAAGCCAGGGGAAAAATAATTCTTTCATTTTAGGGAACAGGTTACTCTAAGACACCAAGCCCAGCAAACAGAAAAGACTTTGTAGGCTAGGCCCCGGGTTCTAAGCTGAGCTCAGCTACTTCCTACTCGTGTGACCTCGGTCAAGACTCTGAATTTCCCTTGGCCTCAGTTTCCTCATCTGTTACATGAGGTGGATGGAAGAGATGGTAGATGGCCTTGGAGGTCCCTTCTAGCTCTGAATACATATATTGATCCTATATAATTACAGATTCGGTCCATCATGGAACATTATCTGTCTCCCACTTCCAGGTTGTTGTACAGGTTGTCTCTTGGGTCTGCAATGTGCCTCCTCCTCAGCTCCATCTCTTCGGATTCCTACTTCCCCTTAAGGTAGAGCTCAATCACCATCTCCTACATGAAGGCCTCTGTGGTCCTTGCTGTTCTTAACTCTCTCCTCACCCCAAAATTACCTTGCATTTACATATGATTTATATTTGTTGTTGTTCAGTTATTTTTTCAGTCACGTATGCTCTTTGTGATCCTGTTTGGGGTTTCCTTGGCAAAGTTACCAGGGTGGTTTGCCGTTCCCTTCTCCAACTGATTTTACAGATGAGGAAACTGAGGCAAACAGGGTGAAGTGACTTGCCCAGGGTCACACAGCTAGTAAGTGTTTGGGGTCAGATTTGAACTCAGATCTTCCTAACTCCAGGCATGGCGCTCTATCCATGGCACCACCTAGCTGCCCCAGAATTTATATTTACCTATCTGTATATAGGAGGTAGCTTGGAAGAATGGACAGAGTTGGTCTCCGAACCAAAGCCCTGCCTCTGACACATACTGGCTGGGTGAGCTCTGGTAAATCACTTTGGTCCTCAGTGCTCTGGGCAGCCCACTGTGATGCAAAATGTCAGAGAGGGTGCCAACCTGCATCGGCAGAAGGACGTTCTTCCTCTGGGAGCTTCCCGGGTTCAGCTCCTTCCTTGTGGCCTCCACCCAGCAGAATAGAAGCTTCTTGAGGGCAGGGACTAGTTCACCTTCATCTTTATATCCCCAGATGTAGCTCAGTGCCTGGCACAGAGGAAATGTTAACACGTGTTTGTGGGATTGATTTGAATTTCTAAAAAGCCGTTGGAAAAACTTAGGTTGTAGGAGTTAGAGCTTCTTGATTCTGGAAACAGCCAGCTGAGCCAGTGGGACCAGCCAGAAGGTGACCCCTCCTTCTGAAATGTGCCAGGAGACCCAGGGCCAGCCCTGGGCTCTGTCCTCCTGCCCCAGACTCTCAGCCATCTGGCACTCACATGGCTGTCCGTTTGCAGAGGTCACCTGTCTTAGCACTCTCAGGTTCTTGGAGCTCCCAAGGGTCCCCTCTGACCTCCAAACCACTAGGTTTTTCCTGGGATGATTTTTCCCTCAATTCTGACCCACTTTCCAGAAGCTCATACAGCTCCGAAATGACTTCAGAAAGATGTTAGAGCCTGGACCCCAGTGAGGTCATCAGGCTTTTAAGCCCAGCTTCAGAGGAGAGAGATAGCAAAGCACCCATTTTAAGTAAATAAGAATAAGGCGGCTCTGCCAGCTCACAGCATCAAGTCCTGGCCTGTGGAAGGGCCCCAGGCTTCCAACAAGCAATCAAAGTCACAGCCATACTTTAGCGGTGGCCTGAAAGAGGTACGTGGGGCCAGCTCAGTTTTAATCAAATGTGGAATAGAAAGTAATCGATCTCCCAGTCTGCATCTCTCTCTGTTTCTATGTCTGTCTTTCGTCTGTCTCTATCTATTTCTCTATATCTGTGTCTCTCTATTTCTGTCTTTCTTTCTGTGTGTATCTATCTCTCTCCCCTCCCCCAGAGCTATATACCCAGTGCAGTCTCTCCTGAGCTCCAGCGCCCCAGGACTGGTCACCTATTACATGTTTATAACTGCATGTCCGGTAGGCATCCCCAAACTCAATAGAAACAAAGCAGAACAAATTCGCTTTCCCCCCAAATGCATCTTTCTCCTGAACTTTCCTGTGTTTGTCAAGAGAGTCACCCACTTTCAACACCAGAGGATCACAGCCTCAGGGCCATGCTTGACTCTTTCCTCCCCCTCCCCCACCCACCCAAGGGGGGGGGCGCAGATCTTGTCCCTGTTGCCTGTAACCCCTTTTTCCTCTAGACCCCCTTCTCTCCCTCACACAGCTCAAGCTCTTCACCCATCCCCTGGTCTAGTCCAAGGGCCTCCTCTGTGGTGTCTCTGCTTCAGACATCTCCCCTCTCCAGTCCTTCCTCCACTCAGCTACTAGCTGTTTTCCTTAACTGTAAGCCTGACCATATCACCCCCCAAATCAATAAACTCCTACCTCCCTCTTAGCTTTTGGATCAAATAGAAATGACTTTGGTGGCTTTTAGAAACCTTCCCCAAGTGGCCCCTCCCCACCTTTCCCATCTTCTACTTTCCTCCTCTTCTCCCACATTCAGGTGCACACACACACAGCTAAGCCTCTTGAGAGAACAGGAACTGTTTTACAATTGGCTTTGTGTTCCCAGTGTCCAGTGGGGCGTCTGGTATACAGTAGGTACTTAATACATACTTATCGATTACTCTGGATGTATGAGTCCTCTCCAAGAGAGCCCTTAATTCTCTAATGTCCCCAGAGTCTGTTCACTTTTGGGGCCATATCTGATTTTTAAGTAATCTCTAACATTAGAGAAGAAGAATATTCACAGCCTATACCCCTTTTTTGTCCCATTAAAAAAGCACAGACATACACATACCTTGGCTATGTGACTTTTCAGTGGCTCTGGGAGATCTAAGACTGAGCTCCCCACAATGTAGAATTAGACATTTAGTGTTAGAAGGGCCCTTAGAGATTATCTAACCCAAGTGCCTCATTTTACAGATGAGGAAACTGAGATACAGATTAGGGGAAATGACTTGTCTAAGATCACACTGATCATTAAGTGGCAGAGCCAAGATTAGTACCTTTGTCTGCTGGTACCGTCTCCCTGATCTCATACAAGCTACCAGTAAAAATCGAAAAAATAAACTTTACAGATGTATTTGCACAAACTGATAGACTTTTCTTTTTCCCCCAAAGATCCCAATCTCAGCCACTAATTTTGCTTTAGAGGAAATAGAGCTCCATGCAGCATGGGGCAGTAGAAAGTTTATGGGGCCCCAAGTCCTATCAAAATCCCAGTTTTGCCATTTACTAACTGAGTGGGTATGATTCATCTTCATGAGTTCAAATCTGGCCTTAGATGATTACGAGCTGTGTGACCTTGGGCAAGTCACTTAATCCTATTTGTCTCAATTTCCTCATCTGTAAAATGAGCTGGAGAAAGAAACGGCAAACCACTCGAGGATCTTTGTCAAGAACCCCCCACCCCACCCCTGTAAATGGGGTCATGAAGAGTTGGATAGGACAGAACAAAAAACTGTGTGGTCTTAGGTCAATTCCATTCTCTCCCACCCTCCTCTATATAAAATGAGGATGAATCACAACTTCACAGCCTATATTTCTTGTCAAATTTCCTGCCAAATGAGAGGATTACGCGAGCCAGTCTCTAAGGTCCTTCCTAGCTCTTTATCTGTGCTGCTAACAGAGACTGGGCTAGCCTCAAAGGTCTCTTCCAGATGTAAATCATTCCCTCAAAGGAATTTTTAAAGGGCATTTGAAGTATCCAGGAAAGGACAAGACCCGAGGGGCTCGTCTCCGTAAGACTCCTCAATTACCCCAACAGCTGAGGACTTCTTCAGAGTCCCCATTTCACGATCAGCAGGGCAGTGACGATAGAGCTGTCTTTCAAAGATCTTTTAAGGAGGAAAAGAAAAAAAGCAGTGGTTCGGCCCACCCAGAGTTAATGGTTAACCTTGGATTGGGAAACAGACTTGGAGACCGAGTTCAGCCCCACAGTTTGATAAATGAAGAAAGGGAAGCCAAGAGAAACAATCGGAGAAATCTCGAAAAGGACAAATGTACCAACGCTTGATTGTATAAATAATTTATTTCCGTTCACAGCATCATGTTTGCATCATAAAAAAGAAAAAAAAAAAAGAACCAAAAAGGACAATTAGAACAGAGAGGACTGGGTTAGGGGTGGGGAAATGAAAAATGAAGAGGCAGCGAGGCGTTTTTTCTTGAATTCTAACATTTAAACAGACAAAAAAAAAAAAATGAGTGGACGAGGTCTGCCACCAAACCGGCATCCCTGCTTGTCTCCTGGTAACCACTGGAAAGCCTCATTGGAGAGGCAGTCCTTCAAAGCAAACCCCCACCTTCATTCTTTCAGGGATTAATGCCGTGAAGCATCCCTAAATCTGGAGGGGCCCCTAGCAAGGAAGGTTCTCCTCCAATCCCAAGGGGAAGGTGACACCACACTTGGGGTTAAAGGGTCTGTGAGGAGGGAGGCCAAAACAGGACAGAAACAACAGAAATTCTGGGCCATGGGTTAGTCATGGACAGCGTTTCAGAACTAGACATTCTGACTGCCCTCAGGCCCTCAATCAGTCTTGACAAAGACCAAAAGTCCTGCTCAGTTTCTGGAAAGCAAGGCAAGACTGGGTCTGAAGATTCGTCTTAAAACCTAACTCCAGGGAGCATCACACCATATTTGGCTTCTGCAGGGTCACAAAATAAATATATTATTTCTCTCCTAAGTGTGGAGCTAACAAATCTCAAAGTGCTTAATAAGAAACTGTGGCATGTGAAGAAATGAAAAGAAAAAATTAAAAACAAAAAACCACAGACACACAAACAACAAAATCTCTACACACACAATTTCCTTACATGATGGGACCAGCCCATTCAGAACTCAGCGAACAAGGAAGTGAATTACGACTGTGTAAACGGGAATTCCATAAGCCTTCTCCATCCTGCCTGGTTTCCAGTTGATCTCTACTAGGCTTCAACAAAAGAAGACCAGCTGGGGAAAGGTGCCACCATTCCTGTCCCAAATTAAAAGGAGTCAGCTGTCCCTAATAGCTATAAGAATTGCATTGGAAGCAAAAAACCAGCACTACAATCTGGAGTTTGTTCTAAAGTGAGTGTGTGGAAAGCAATGGACAAAGAGGCCTGGCCTTAGGATTTATTTAGAGACACATTCCCATGCTCAAACCTGGTAGTGGCCAATTTCCAAATGACTCCCTTGTTAGGAAATTTTCAAAAGGGGGAGGGAGGGCAGAGGCCAATTACCCCAGTAAACATGGCTTCAAAGAGGAAATCAAATTCCCAAGTCTGAAGTCTCCCTTCGGACAATACTGCACTTCTGTGTAAAATGACCAGCATCCTGCAACCAAGACTCCCCGTCCTGATTATAAACCATTTATTTCTTTTTAAAAAAAAAAAGTCTTATTAAAAATACTTAACTCTTTGTTTTTCTTTCCCCCTTCAGCTTGACTGTTCTCCCAATCCTCCTTGGGCACCTGCTGGCCCACGGATGACATCATGCTCCAAGCTTCCTCCTACCTTGAGCACTCTGGGGAATCTCATCTACCACACTGGGGTTCAGCTGTGGGCCAATGTAATGGCTGTAGCAGCAGGCCAGTTTAGACAGGAATTTTATAAGCAAGGACCTAGGTCATTGTGCTTTGAAATCCATGCAGTCAGGTGGGCTTTTGCAAGACAAATGGGCTTGGGGGGTGGGTGGGAACAGGGTGCATCATATCAAGTACTATAATGAGACGATTTTGTGGCGTTCCTTACGTTGGGCAGGCTATAGTGAACCTCCTTAAATAACCCCAACGGTCTCCACTTGCAGAGTAATATGATATAAAGGGGCACAACAAAGCCTTTTTCTCACTTTTTTTTTTTAAATGAAAAGATAATCAGAGAACCCTCCATCACCCAGTTCACATGACAAGAGGCAAGCCTTGCAAAAATCATCCTCAATGCAGCCTACAGCTGGCATTAGATCCTAAAACCAACCACGGGCCGGGCAGGTGCTGCTGGCTTGCAAACCAGCCAGTCGGGCCGGTCAAGAGACCTTTAAATCCCACGCGGATGGACCCGGGTATTTGTGCCCATCTTAGCATACCGAGAGGATCTCCTTCAGCCCCTTCCCATCCAGCCTGAATAACAAGTCTCCCATCTGAATACCCTTAACCAGATTTCCGGCAATAAATGGACCTTCGACCACCTCCCCCTCACCCGGCAACTGTTTCCTTAATTGTTACTAGTTTCTTCGTTTGTGGGATAATGACCTACGTATGGACTAGATCCAAACCGCGGCAAAGATACCGGACCTGGGGGGTGGGGGGGGGGGAGCAGGGAGGAAAGGCAGTTCTCATCCTGTAAAAGAAACGGGTGTTTTCTACAGTGGTTTTCCCTTGACCAGGTTCTTGGCTGGGTTTCCAGTGATCCAGGTCTGCTATGCGGCAGCAGGAACTCCCCCCAAACAGACATCCATCCATCCATCCATCCACCTTGCTAGGGCCCAGGGCAGAAGCAAAGGAATGATAGCAAACAGGGGCCTGCCCCGTTCCAGGAAAAGGATTATCAATACCCGGCTGGACTGGCCCATCAATCCATGCAGCCGCTGGAGCTGCCCCCCATGACCCTTCTCTGGGCAGAGAACTCGGAGGGGAACAGTGACCTCGGTACCTCTGAGAACCCACAGGTGCAACTGGCTTTGGGGGAGGGGCAAGGAGGCCCAACTTCTTAATTCTGCTGGAGAGTTTCAAGGCAGGAGGCCTTCCTCCCAGGGCCCTCTAAGCCATCCTCCACTTCTCCCCAGGAGGGCGGACCCGGCAGGTCGCAACCCCCAAGCCCCATCCCCCACATTCCTCCCAGTCCTCTGCCTTCAGTCTCCTCCCCCTCCTCCAAGCCCGTGGGAAAGGGGGGAGATCAAACAAAAGGCCTTGCCAGCAGGCGGGCTGGCAGGCAGGCAGCCCGCCAGGGGGATGGGCGCTCATTCTGCCGGCCTTTCTGTCCACTCGCCTGCCTGGCCCGCTGTGGGGCTGGTGACCCACCTGTCCCAGGCTGCCAAGTCAGAATCCAGGGCGGGAGGGGGGGGTGGGGGCCAGTCCCAGGAGCCCGGGGTTCCCGCGCACTGTGGCTGGCTATCCATAGAGTTCTATCCTCGTTTGGCAAACTCGACGCGTCGCTTTGGTTCTCGTTTCTGGGGTCCTCGGTGGGTGGGCGTGGGAGTGGGCCGCAGGGGGGCGGGGAGGGGGGGATGGGCGGGGGGGGGCCGCTCGTCTATCGCTTCTTCTTCTGCTTCAGGGACTTTCTCCGCTTGAGGATCATCTCGTACAGCTTGTCCATGCCCTCGGTGAGGCCCTCGCCGATGATGGCGCAGGCGGGCTGGACGTGGTAGGTGGTGGCCGGCACGAGCTCGGGCAGGGCCAGCTGCTTCTCGATCTCGGCCACGGGCAGCGACTTGGGCAGGTCCTGCTTGTTGGCGATGACGAGCAGCGGCGTGCCCTGGTTCTCGGCGAACTTGGTCACCTTGTGCAGCTCGGTCTTGGCCTCCTCCAGCCGGTCCACGTCCACGGAGTCCACCACGTAGATGATGCCGTCCGTGCAGCGGCTGTACGACTTCCAGAGCGGCCGCAGCTTCTCCTGGCCGCCCACGTCCCAGAAGTGGCAGCTGATGCCCTTCGCCGTGCCGTTGCTCAGCTTGATCTTCTCCGTGTTGAAGCCTATCGTGGGCACCGTGTTGACGAACTCGTTGAACTTGAGGCGGTAGAGCACCGTGGTCTTGCCCGCCGAGTCGAGCCCCAGCATCACGATGTGCAGGGACTGGAAGGCGGAGATGTTGGACGAGATGTTTCCCATGACGCCGGCCAGGACAGCGGCGGCCAAGGCGCCCTCGGGCAGCGCCGGGGGCCGGGGGCCGGGGGCAGGGGCGGGGAGGTGCCCTCTTCGAGGGGCAAGCGGGTGGCGGGCCGGCAGTGGGCGGGCGGCAGCCCCCTCCCGCTCCTCC